TGATTTTGTTGTGGTAACTTAACAGGAGAGATTTATGTGACAAGTTAGGCAAGGGCCTCAAGACAAACTAAAGTAAGAACATCCACATTAAATGGTGGGAGAAATTCTGAGAGATGGTAGTGTAAGTCAAAAGTGATTGTGCTGTTACTATTCCCTCAGTCAGTTTGTGTCCCAGCCTTCCCATTTCACAAGAAACCAGAAGGCTCTATTCAGGCTCTGTTCCTTCTAAGATTACATTAATTCCTAGAAAACCTTGCATTAGAATGAAGTTTTAAACTTTTCACTGTTCTATAGCTACTGTAGCCTGAAATGGTGGTGTCCTTGTAGGTACCTGTTCATGTGTATTTGGATCTCTCTACACTGCCTTGTGTAGCCTTGAGCAAGCCAGCAGAGCTGCTGAGGCTGGATCTCATGAACCCTCTCTTGAACAACTCCAGCAGAGAAGTGAAGGTGAGTCTAATAATAGGCAAACTCAGAAGTGTGTCCTGCTGCCTGGCTGCAGAGCTCATCCTGGCTGTGAGAGTCAGAATCTACTGGCCTGCAGGTCATCTTCATGGAATGGGTTGAAGTGGGTTGAATGACTCTATCTTAGACTTCTTTGAAAAGGTGTAAATGGCTAAACTAATATTTTTAATATTTGTAGGTACAAATTTGCAAGTCTGGTCAAGTCACTGCAATTCCCTTCTGGTATCACATCCACCTAGATGAAGACTATAGTTTGAGCACATTGGATGAAAGCTCACACTGGAAACAAGCTGCTGTTGTTCTAGATGAGCCCATCCAAGTTCAGCTTGGAGATGAACTTGTGCTCAATGTCCAGCATCATAAAAGCACTATTAGCATTACAGTAAGGCAGTGAAGAAAGTCACCTGGAATGGGATGTTGGTTAATTATCTATGCATACACAGATTCATCAGTGTAATGGATGTTAATTTATATTAAAGTCTGCATTTTCTCTACTGATGCATATGGGACTATTTTATTGTAACTTGTAAAACTTCAAGTATTAACTGAAACTCACACTACAAGGTTGTTCTACCAGCCACTTAGAAGGGAGCTACTGTTTTCATTCTAGCTAGCAATCAGTCTTCTATCTGTTTTGTTTTCTGGCTTCTAAAAATAAGACTTACTGTACATATATCTTCTGTGAGTGAAAAGCTGCTGATTGATAAATCCCTGTTCTTTAGGTTGTTCAGCTGGTGAATAGCTCTGAATATTGCACAAATCTTCTATCTTGCACTCAGTGCCCCAGCAGCAGGGGTAGAGAGCATGTGGCTGCCTGCAGCAGGCACTGCTGCAGCGACCTTGTTTTTTCAACTTTTTGTTCTACTTTGCTTGCAAGTGTATTGATCTTCACCTTGTTGTAGTGTTGTAGTGTGCCTCCTCACTAAGAAATTGAACTAAAGTTTGAAAAAACAAGGTCTCTGACCTTGAACAGCCCCAGCTTTTGTAACAGCCCTTTCTCCTATCTTTTTACCTCCACTAAAGATGTGTATAGACACATCTTTAAGTCATAGAAGAAGAATGTCTGGAGGTGGACAACCTTCCTCCCTTTGCTTAGAGAATTGCAGCATGTCTGTTAAGGCACAGAGAGTGAGGCTTTGTTTTTTCTTTTTCAAGGCTGTGCCAAAGCTGGCCCAGAATATTCCAACTACACATGGCAGTACTTTTCTGTAGCAGGCAGCTATTAAGCTTTGTCTGTTAAATTCCTCTTCAAATAAAAGACCAAAACTACTTCTCTTGTACTTTACCTGGTCCCTTCTGTACATGAAGGGGAGAGGAAGCGCTGAAGTACAGCTGCAGCTGTTTGCATCTAAGCTAGGCAAACTGGTGTAGTAGTAGATTTTTTTTTTCCTATAATCTCAGTACAAGCAGGAGGTGGTAGGACACCTGTAGTTGGTGGCTGCTGCTTCTTCACCCAATTCTTTGGAAAAGAAGGATAATGATGTAAGTCATTTTAAAAATAAAGTAACTGGATACTACCCTCTAGTAAGGACTTTGTCAAATAGCAACGTTTAACAACTGAGAGCAAGATTTCAAAGGAGAAGTTTAGGCAATACTAGGTGTAAAACTTCTTTTTCAGAGGGAAACAGTGAATAATGACTTGAAAAGCACCTAGTTCACATACACACCATATGTACATAATAGATTGTTGTAGTATTTTTTTTAAAGAGGGGGGAGGGTAAAAATAAACTTTGTGAGATACTGAAGCATGATCTTTCAACTTCCTGCAACTCGACTGCAAAAGTACCACCTCCTAGGCCCTGGGAGCTCTTACAGGTCTATTCTCTTCAGAAGAGAGAGTTTACTGATGTTTGTTTTTAAATATCTCTTTATGTATTATCATATGATGGAATAACTGGCTGGGTAGATGAAGGGAGAGCGGTAGATGTCATTTATCTTGATTTCAGCAAGGCTTTTGACACCGTCCCTCACAACATCCTCCTGGGCCAGCTCCCGAAGTGCGGGGTAGATGAGTGCACAGGGAGGTGGATTAGGAACTGGCTGGATGGCAGAGCTCAGAGGGTGGTGATCAACAGTGCAGAGTCTAGTTGGAGGCCTGTGGCTAGTGGGGTCCCCCAGGGGTCAGTCCTTGGTCCAGTCCTGTTCAACTTACTCATCCATGACCTGGATGAAGGCACAGAGTGCTCCCTCAGCAAGTTTGCTGATGATACCAAACTGGGAGGAGTAGCCGATGCCCCAGAGGGCTGCGCTGCCATCCAGAGGGATCTGGACAGACTGGACAACTGGGCAGTGAAAAACCTCATGCAATTCAACAAGGC